TCTTCTCCTACAAGAAAATCTACAACCAAGAGCGAGTACACACTGAAAGTGAGGGATTCCAGTCCAAGACTGATAGACAAATCATCAAGGAATATTCAGATGGAATAAATGTGTTCTGTCTTTCCTTCCTTCCTTCCTTCCTTCCTTCCTTCCTTCCTTCCTTCCTTCCTTCCTTCCTTCTTTCTTTCTTTCTTTCTTTCTTTCTTTCTTTCTTTCTTTCTTTCTTTCTTTTATATGCCGTCACCACATGCCTCGGAATCTCAGCACAGCTTACAACGTACAAATCTCCAGGACCTGATGGACTCCATCCCATAAAAGAGCTAGCAGAGGAACTCTCAGAACCACTGGCTATTAACTTCGATAAATCTTGGAAAACAGGAGAAGTGCCAGATGACTGGAGAAGGGCCAATGTCCCCATCTTCAAAAAAGAGAACTATGATAAACCTGGGAATACAAATCAATTAGTCTGACATAAATCCCTAAAAAAATTCTGGAGCAAATTATTTAAAAATCCATCTGCAAGCAACCCAACGAACATGCATCACATCCCAGATCACTTCTGTCACTCTGATAGGGAGACTTATGGGCTGCAGGGTGACAATCAGATGGACTGGGACAGATTTTAATCAGTTTTCTAAGTTATGATCTATGCTTTTTGGATGGAATCCATTTCTGTAGCTGTTCTGATGCCAAATTGATCATCAACATCAAAAGATAAGGCCTCTATATTGGGGGAAATATGCGGCCAGGCGTAGGGTAACCTTATACCCATGGAATGGGGGGAAGAGGGTGTTGATCTGCAGCGTGACTAATGTGCTGCTGTGGCAGGCAGACATGATGACCGGCAAGAGGGCAATCTTCCATGACAGGAGGCAGGGATCCCTGTAACCATGGATTTGAAGGGTCCCCTCCTGCTGGATTGTAGGGCCACAGATAGGCTTCAGGAAGGGGTGCAGACAGGTGGGGAATGTTCCATGGAACCTGGAGGAAAAGGCATGCCAAAGGTTGTGTGAAAATCTGGGGCCCCTGGACAGGTGGGTGGAAGTGTGAGGTGGCCACCAGGTGGACCCTCAGTGGGGACAGGGAGAGGCCTAAGGTGAAGTGGGTCTGGACATAGGAGAGGAAGTGCTTGACAGAGGAATGGGAGCAGCCAAGTTCCTTTGCTCTACTGAGCATGGTGAAGAAGGAAAGAGAGTGACCTGGAAATACTAAGGAGCAGGGAGGTTCTAATCAAGGATGCGACTGCATATGCAGCTGAAAAGAAAACAGAGGGACTGGGAAGGAGCCCCCCTCTTCTATCCAGTCCTCTGGAAGGGGCAGGGCAGGGTTCCAGCCCACTCTGTGAAGCTGAACTTTGGAACTTTTATCTGATCTAGGCTTTGCACTACGCGGCAAAGCCCATATGTGTGATTGCACAGAGACCATGAAGAGGAATAGAAGAGAACCTGCTAAGAACATTCATACTAGGATGACTGATTAGCTTAATTTATATGTTGTTATTAATTTTTACTGTTAATTTATTGTTATATTTGGTCATGCTGTGCATGCTTTTATATTAATTTTATTACATGACATGTTTTAATAATTTTCTAATTTCATTGTTTTTATCTGTTTTATCAGTTTTGATTGTATTTATATGCTGCTTTCAGCATGTGTAAGTCACCCAGAGAATCCTCAAGTTATGGGAAAGCATAGAAATGGAATGAAATAACAAATAGGTGGATGGGTGGGTGGTGGGGAGGTATTCCCATCTAAATTCCCCAGCCACAGAAGGTTCCCAAAATGAGGTCCCATGAAGAAGCAGAGCACAGAGACAATGAAGTAATTTTGTTCCTTTATATTTTTAAGTAAACAATAACAAGGATTTATTAGAGCTCCATATTTGCATAGGCTACAGGAGAACATTTATGCTTGATTTAACATATTGCCCTGTGCACTGCTAAGCGGAAGATTAACAAGCACTGGAGCAATAATATTTTCTTGAGCACATTCTTCTGTAATGTAATTTGCATGAGGACTATGGGGAGGCTGATTCTCCCTCTACTAATAACTTCTCCAGAATGATCTACTGAAGATATGGTCCTATTCTACTTAAGTACTGAGAGTGTGCACATTTCTTTTTTATATAGTAGAAAAATATGTGGATCCCTTTAAAAAATTCAAGTTTTTTAAACTACTCTTTTTGTTTAAATATTAAAACTCTGTTCTGTGACCATTGTAAACAAACACTGTCATCTGAATCAGCAGGAATGATCCACACATGTTCCAGGCATCCCCAGCAACTCTTATATCCTTTACTATTCCATTAAGGATCTTTCATTGAGTTTTCCCTCCTCATTTAAGACTTTGTAATTTGAAACTATTCCATCCTTCCCTTCTTCTAGTTTCCCCTCCCACATTCTCCATTTTAATCAATAAATTGAGAATATGTCTCATTAACCCTTCTGCAAGTCCTCTTGATCCTATCATTTCTCAAGTCATAATCATCCCTGGCCATGTCGTTTATATATCCTGGGGAACACACGGGCGCTGCTATTGGCGTGGTCACGGGCAATGGTCGTTACAGCAATAGGGGCTTAACGTGTCCACGCAGAAGAAGGATGGACAGATGGCTGACACCTGCCCCTCCTTATGGTTCTGCCCCCAACCAGAGAGCGCCAGGTAGCCTTGTCAACCACCCCTCGGGCCTGACGGTGCTGCTGCTCAATGCCAGGTCGGTCAATAATATATCTTCCCTCATCCATGAATTGATTGTGGATGAGGGGGCCGACCTGGCTTGCATAACGGAGACCTGGGCGGGAGAGGGAGGGGATGTTGCCCTCTCCCAATTGTGCCTGCCCGGGTATCTGGTTCAACACTGTTCACGTCCAGAAGGGAGTGGGGGGAGTCGCGTTGGTTTACCGAGCCTCCATCTCTCTTCACGGGTCTTCCGGTCCCTTCGAGACCAGGGCTAGAGTGCCTCTACTTGGTGCTGGGTGAACGAGACAGATTGGGGATTCTGTTGGTGTACCGTGCACCCTTCTGCCCAGTAGTCTCCCTATCTGAGCTGACAGAGACCGTCTTGGACCTGGTGTTGAGGACCCCCAGGATGTTGGTCCTGGGGG